CACTTACATCTCTGCCAGATGCTTTTGGGATCCAACAACAAGCTTCCAGCTTGCTGGCTGATATTTGGCCGCTCTTCTTGGACGGACTGGTAGAGTAATTTAGTTGGTTGGTTTTCCTCCTGTGCTCCACAAACTTTTGGCTTTTGGGAATGCCGTTCCTGAAGCTTGATGTTATTCTGCTTTCATTCCAAAATCAGTTTTGATGGTTGTTCGGGATCGTTGTCCTGTAGGAACACCCAACTACATCCAAGGTTCAACCTTCTATGTATTTAAAGAATACATAGAAGAATGTGAAGAATGTGTATGTAGTCCTCTTTCTTCATGATTTCACCAACTTTATGCTGTGTACCTGCACCACTGGCAGTGAAACAGCCCAGAGCGTGATGCTACCACCGCCATGCGTCACAGCTGCAGTGTTCTCAGGGTTGAAAGCCTCACCTTTGCTCCTCCAATCAGCTCCATCTTTGTCTCATCTGACCATCAAACTTTTCTCCAGACGCCGTTTGGCTCGTCCACGTGGGCAGATTTCAGTTGAGCTCGTTGATTTTGGAGCAGGAGCTTCTTTCTTAGTCCTTGGAGATGTGAGACTGGCTTCACTGTGGAAGTGACACTGGTGTTCCAGCAGATTCCAGTCCACAGCAGGCTTGATCCTGGGTGGGTCCTGAACATTGACAGTTTGGCTCTAATTCAGATGTGTCACCACTTTGCCAAGGAGTGGATGGAGACTTCTGAGCATGACTCCACTGAAGGATTAAATAATGAAATGAGGAATATTTTGCTCATTTTGGATTTGACGCCACACATTGGCCAGTTCTGTTTCTTTCTACATGTGTGTCATGTTGACAGTGAATGTTTACTGTGTGTAAAACTGGATTTTGTTAGTTGATGAAACCCTGCATTGAAAGAACATTATAAAAACTGTAACGATCGTATCTTCTGTTCATTGTATTTATTTAATTCCTTGTCTTTTTATGAAAGAAACCTTACAAACACGAAATACTTTCGTGACCTTTAACCTTTAACATGCAAACTGAGGCTGTGGAGTCTCAGATGGGACTCTTGGCTTTTGGACGTCCACTCCTGGGAGGATCAGCAGCACCGGCTGATGAACCGACCTCTTAATTCCTCGCTGTATTTCGTTTTCCACACTTTCCTGCTTCTATGTTTGGCTTCATAAATAACGACAGAGTGTAAAAGTGTCTGCATTCAAACCAGATGATTTGCATCATGTTTCGATATGTAAAACATTAGAAACTTTGTTTTAAACCGCGACGAGAATAAAGCAGCGATTCTGAATCTGTCTCCCAGTAACGATCAATAACACAAAATACCATTTTGATATAACAGCGATATTAATCACAGAACAGGTCAAGCTTAAATAAAACCCAACATTTAGATTTACATTTCTTATTGGAGTCACTGAAATTTGAATTCATGCTTATTAAAACTCAAACTTTACGGCCATCAGCTGCCAAACTGGACGCTGTGCTAGGAAGAGGAGAAACGCAGAATCTGGGCTGTAAGCAGGACGTGAGCAGCTTCCAGCTAAAAAATGGTCCGGAGTGAGTTTTCAGTTAGAAACCTGCTTTCCAGGCTTCATACTTCCTAATCCTCAGCACGCTGTGACGATGCTCCGACCTCTGACCTGCTCTTTATCTGTAAAGTCAGACATCCAGAGAGTGCGGCTTCCCCTCCCGTTGACCTCTGCGAGCAGACGCTGTGAGCTTCTCCCTGATAAGCGGATGTGCTGTGATATCTCACCTGCATCGATGATCCCTCCACTCGTGCCACGTAGGCGAATCGATCGAGGAAGGTGACGGTTACGGGGACGGCGACGAAGAATCCGCTAACGAAGGCTCGCAGGCAGCGTCGCCCCGCCGTGGCCTGCTGAGCCATCGCAGATCTGGACAGGGAAGAAGAACATGAGAGCGGGAAGTCGACGTTACCGCGACAACACGCAGGAAAATAAACAGCGCTCAGATTAGACTACGTTAGATTAAACTTTATTGATCTCTGCGGGGAGGCGGGGCAATGCAGCAGTGGGAGATTAATAGAAACACACCAGAGAAAGTAGAGGTGGGAATCACCATAAATCCCACGATACGATATTATCACAATACTTAACGCACGATACGATATTATTGCAATTTTTAAAAATATTTTGCGATATT